GCCCCGAGGAGCAGGCGCGGCCGTGGGGGCGCCGGGCCCGGGGGAGAGCCCCCGGCCTCGGGGTTCGGAGCCCAGTGTCCTTGGCAAGTGCGGCGGCCGGGCTCTGGCGGGGGGGGGGGGAGAAAAAGGGGGGCTGGGCCTTGGGGTGCATCTCTGCCAGTCGAAGCCGCTCCTCTGCCTCTCTGGGCCGAGGCTCTGTGGGTGAGTGTGACGGTTCCATCCCAGTGAAATGCTTAGCCCGGGGGGCACGGCGCGCACAGACCCCTCAGCGCCCGCGCTGGAGCGCGTCCTCCCCGTCCCCTCCCGCCCCGCCCCGCCCGGCAGGCTAGCAGTGAGCCCACCCACGGAGGTGCAGGGGCCCGACTCAAGGTCACGGAGCGACGACCGGATAACAGCTCGCTGACCCAGCGTGTCACCGACACCGCTGCCATCGCCTTTGCTGGGCCTTCGGAGAAGACTCAGAAAGCAAATACCACATAACACGCGAGCCTGCAGAGTGTTCCTCTGAGAAGACACGGCCGCCCACACGGGAGGGCACACCTTTAACTGCCGGAACAGAGTGGACGGCGCCGAGGGCTGCCAGCGCGCTGGAGTCTGTCTCTCCGGCTTCACCGGGAGGGTCTGTGCCTGAGGGACGCGACCCTCTCCATGCACCTGTCTGTGCGGTGACACACACACACACACACACATACACACGTCGTGGCCTACCCACCAGGCAGAGAAAAACGTGCCAGCGTGAGACCCGCTCACAAGCAAACCCCGTTGACGACGCTCTGGAACAGGGGCTCCCTCGGCACGCCATCCGGGACCGGACAGAGAGTTCACCGCTCCGCACTGGGGACCAAAGCAAGAGGGGGCCATGCTCGTCTGCCTCCGACTACAGAACTATCATCTCCTCCGGAACACATCATTCACCAGCGCTCTGTGCAGGAGGGAGACCCTCCCACTGCTCCCAGAACCAAAACACGACTTTAAAACGTGCTTGGTCTCCAGATGGGCTGCCCCCAACATAGAGGCTCCCCGTAGTAATTTTGAAAAACAAAACAAAACCTAAACACAGGATGTGAGCACCCTCCCAGGAGTGGCCGGGGATCGCTGGGAGGACTACCACTCTGTGGCTGAAAAGGAAATGATAGGGATGATGACGAGAGCCCATCAGAGGGTGGCACCCAGGCCCCGTCCTGTGTCACGCCGTGCGGATGGCTTAGTGACGGCGAGACAGAAAGCCCGCCGGGCTGGTTACTGTGTTCCCCCCCCGCCGGCCGGGGCAGCAGCCACGGAGCTCCGAGGGGCTTTGTCCCCGTCAGCACAGAAGGTGTGAGCGCTCCGGCATCAGGCCAGGAAGCTGGCCCCGGCGGGGTCCCGCCAGAGAGGGTCCTGGTGGCTGTCCCGGCTCTCTGGGACGGCCGGGCGCCAGCCAGGGCTGCTGTGCTGCTGTCCGGGGCAGCGTCTGCCCAGGCTGGCTATGCTTCCTGTAGCAGTGACCCTGCCCCCGCCTGACTCCCTCAGCTGCTTCACCCGGAGGGGCGCTGCTCTCCCCTCTGACTCCCTCCCAGAATGAAGATCCCGTGGGCCGAAGCCGGTTTGGCTCAGTGGTAGAGCATCAGTCTGCGGACTGAAAGGTCCCAGGTTCGATTCCGGTCGGGGGCATGTACCTTGGTTGCGGGCGCATCCCCGGTAAGGGGTGTGCAAGAGGCAGCTGGTCGATGTTTCTCTCTCATCGATGTTTTTAGCTCTCTGTCTCTCTCCCTTCCTCTCTGAATAAAATATATTAAAAAAAAAAAAAAAAAAAGATCTCGCGGGTATAAGCCCCCGCAAACAGGAGGCTTCGCCATTTGGAAGTCTCTGCTTCCGTTAAAAACACCTCGGTCACACGTAGCGGGACAAGGCCCCGGTTTGCAGCCTCGTTCGGGAAAACCGGCTATTTCCATCGCCAGGCCGGCGGGCAGGTGACGGCACCGAGGAGCTGGGGCAACAGCCTGCGGCTCTCTGAGGCCTCGTCGTGGGAAAGGCCGTCGTGGCTACAGCCCTGGCCCGGACTCCAGGCCAGAGCCCCCGAAGGACCGCCGCCTGCCGTCCGTGTGAGAGGCGCCGAGGCCGCGGAGAACCGGGGACACGGAAGGAGCAGAGGAACATCTGCCGCCACCCTCCCCGAGCCCCAGCCCTCAGCACAGCACCGTCTTTTCATCCGGGGGCGGGACCGCATGGGAAGGCCGCTTTCAGAGAACAGAGACCTCAGGGGAGACGCAGGCCAGAGAAGAGGTTCCTGTTTTTAACCTGGGGAGAGAAGGGGCCGCTGGCTGGCTTGCCGGTGGGTGGAAGCCCGGGCCCACGTACGGCCAAGGCCAGGAGGTGAGGGTGCGGTGGCCTAGCAGCCGCCGTTAGACACGCTCAGACTCGCGAACAGCCCCGACCTTGGGGTCCGCTCCTCCTCCCTGCTCTGTCCTAGGCCCTGAGCCCTGCTCGGGCAGTGAGGAGCCCCACGGCTCCATCTCCCGCAGGCCTGCAAGGCTGGTGCCTGAACAGCTACAGGAATTCTGACTGGACAGCCATCATTCTCGCGAGTTCTTCACATGGGCCACGCTAACCCTCTTGCCCCATACTGTGGATCTGGAAAGATGGAGCAGGAGGTGAAATGACTAAAAGGGAAAAAAAAGAACTCCGAAAGCCGGTTCCGCCATTGCTTCCAACCATGTGAAGTGGGTGTGACTGCTGCCTGCTTCCCTCGACCTTCCTCTCTGGCTCAGAGCATCCAGCCTGGAGGTCAGGGACACACAGGAGAGGCCCGGGGTGCACACAGAGGAGAGGGCCCGGGGTGCACACACACACACAGGAGAGGGCCGGGGTGCACACACAGGAGAGGGCCGGGGTGCACACACAGGAGAGGGCTGGGGGTGCACACACAGGAGAGGGCCGGGGTGCACACACAGGAGAGGGCCGGGGTGCACACACAGGAGAGGGCGGGGGTGCACACACAGGAGAGGGCTGGGGGTGCACACACAGGAGAGGGCTGGGGGTGCACACACAGGAGAGGGCCGGGGTGCACACACAGGAGCCCGAGGTGCACACACAGGAGAGGGCTGGGGGTGCACACACAGGATAGGGCCGGGGTGCACACACAGGATAGGGCCGGGGTGCACACACAGGAGAGGGCTGGGGGTGCACACACAGGAGCCCGGGGTGCACACACAGGAGAGGGCCGGGGTGCACACACAGGAGCCCGGGGTGCACACACAGGAGAGGGCCGGGGTGCACACACAGGAGAAGGCTGGGGGTGCACACACAGGAGAGGGCCGGGGTGCACACACAGGAGAGGGCCGGGGTGCACACACAGGAGAGGGCTGGGGGTGCACACACAGGAGAGGGCCCGGGTGGGATGCACACAGTGGGGAGAGGGCCCTCCTAGAAGGCGCTCCGGAGCGCGGTGCGGAAAGCCAGGGATTCCCACACAGAGCCCACACTGCGCCTTTATCCGCTCTCTGAAGGGCTATTGTTGAGGAGGGACTCCCGGCCTTTCCAAAGTCCTTCTGTGAATGGCCGAGGCCAGACATCTGCCAGGAGCCGCTCACATTTGCATGCAAATCAGGACACCGGGGCCCAGCAAGCGGCCCCACTTCCACTCAGGACCCACACCCCTCCGCGTGCCTTCCTGAACTTTCCGCGCCTCCGGGCCTGCCTCTCAGCAGCGAAGTGATGAGCATATTCGAGGGCGATGAATTATTTAGACGCAGTGTCCTTCCATCAGATTGCAAAACAAAACAGCACTGTCTTCGGGAAAGCCGACAGCAAAACCCCAGGTCAGCAAGCCCTGCTCGGAGGAGGGAATCCCACTGTTCCTTACGTCTGGGTCGGGAGGGGAGAAGCCGTGGCCTGAGGTGCAGGGAAGGGTCCCTTTTCCTGCACTCCAGGCCGTGGCCTGGGGTTACACCTCCTCAAAACTACCCACCCCCATTCATTCATTCATTCATTCATTCGTTCATTCGCTCGCTCCCTCAGAGCCAGGGCCTGCTCCAGGTGCCTGGGCTGCAGCAGTGACCCCGCAGGCGGGGCCCCCTCTCTCAGGCCGGTGCCACCGGACTCAGTCTGGCGCACCCAGGCGGCTCCCTCCCCACCATCCCTGCCCTTTGCGCACCGGTCCCCACCGGGAGCCCCTTCCGCCTGGATCTCCCCAGCCCATCCAGGCGGGACTCCCCGGGCCGCATGGGGAGCTGCGCACACCCCTCCGCGCCCACGAAGGACACGGGCTGCAAACTTTGTCCGTCCCCACGCGGCGGCGGGGCGCCCAGCAGGCTGGCTCCGGGCGCGGACAGGCTCCCCGGACATCATTCCATCACCCTGGGCGCCTCGGAGCGCGGCGCGGGGAGGGCGAGGAACCCCCGCAGACCGCCCACGGCGGAGCGGCCCGCGCGAGGCTCGGTCCTGAGAGCCCCGGGAGCTCTGTGCATCGCGCCCCTTGTCCGTCTTCACCCACAAGGCCGCCTCCTCCTCCTCCTCCTCCCACAGCCTTCCTCCCTCCACCGTCCTCTCCCCACTCCCCACGCGTTCCGCTCCGCCGGCCCGGTGCCTCCCAGCTCCCACCCGCAGCCCTCCTTCCCCGTGGCCTGGCCTCTCCTCCCCCGCGGGGTCCCCCAAACCCGGCGGGCCTCTCCTCCCCCGCGGGGTCCCCCAAACCGGGCGGGCATCTGCTTCCCCGCGGGGTCCCCCAAACCGGGCGGGCATCTGCTTCCCCGCGGGGTCCCCCAAACCCGGTGGGCATCTGCTTCCCCGCGGGGTCCCCCAAACCCGGCGGGCTCGCCTTCGGCCCCTTTCTGCCCGGCCTTCCCGGCGCGCTGTTCCCCAGCCCTGGGGGCACCCTGGTTCCCGTTCCCCACTTGGTCCTCCCCCAGCCCGGCGAGCCGCGCCCCCCGCCCCCCGCCCGCGGCTCCCGGACACCCGGGCGGGCCCCCAGGCGGCCAAGTTTGCGCCGCCGCCCCCCGCGCCCCCCGCGGGCAGGGACTCACCCAGGCGGCGCCGGGCCGCGGGCGGAGGAGGCGCCGGCTCCGGGAGCCCCGGCCGCGCGGCGAGAGGGAGGCGCCCGGCCTGCGCGATCCGCTCCGGGCCCGGCGGCGGGAGGAGCGGAGGGCGGGTCCGAGGAGGCGCTGGGCTCCGAGCGATGCCCACGCCGGGCTGGCGCCGCGGCCCCGCTCCCGCCCGGAGGCCCCTCTCCCGCCCGGAGCCGCGCCCAGCTCCCCGCGCCCCGCTCCGGGCGCCTGGCAGCCGCTTTGTGGCCGCGGCCGGCGTGCACCTGGGGTAAGCGAGGCGTCAGCGGAGGGCCGCGCCCATTGGCTGCTCCGGGCCCCCCCACCGCCTGTCCCCGCCCCCAGCACCCCGCCCCCAAACCCTTCCTCCTCTCCCCCTCTCTGTCCCCCCAAACCCTCCCTCCTCCCTCTCTCCCCTCCCCGCCCCCTCAACCCTCCCTCCCCCCCGCCCCGCCCCCCTCCCCCTCTCCCCGCCCGCGCGCTGGGCACCAGCTGTGGCCTCGCGACAAAGGCGCGGCACCCGCAAGGGTCTCAGGTGGCCCTGCCGCCCCGCCGCTTTCTGTCCAGGGGTGCCCGGCTGGGGGGGGCCATGGGAGGGCCGGCTGGGGGGGTCCAGCTGGGAGGTCCGGCTGGGGGGGCCGTGGGGGGGCCCTGCTGGGGGGGTTTTGGGGGGGTAGGAGGCGCAGCGCCCTCTCCCCGTGGCGCAGGGCGCCAGGTCTGTGCGGCGGTCTGACCCGCTCTCCAGGGCGCGGTGGTCCCCTGCTGGGCGCGCCAGGGGCGGGGGCGGCCCGCGTGGCCGTGGAGCCGGCCCGCGCCCTCGCTGTGGCAGGAAGGTGGATCCCGTGCACGGCGAGGCTTTCGGATAACGTTTTCTGAAACTGTCATTGCCGCTTCCGATGGGAGAGGTGTGAGTTGTGCTCGGAGGAGCGTGCGGACTGCGCTCTGTTTGAAGGCTGAGGGAAAGGGGCGACACCCACCCACTGCCTCCTGCGCGCCCCCACTGGGGACCGACCCTACGACCCGGCCTGTGCCCTGCTGGGGACTGAACCTTGACCTCCTGGTTCATAGGTTGATGCTCAACCACTGAGCAGCACTAGCTGTGCCCAAGGGTCAGACCCTTGTCTGCCCTCCCCCTGCAGCCCAGACCCTTGTCTGCCCTCAGTGGCTAGGAGTGTGTCTGCAGGAAGGCCGGCCTTGGCTGCAGAACCAGAGCTTGAGTGATGAGGGGGAGCCTGCAGGGGCGTTCCAGCCCCGATGGAGAAACCGCACTGACGGAGGGTCAGTTCCCCCAGCGAGGGAGAGCCAGGCTCAGGAGCCCTGGGCGCCTGTGCGGGGGCGTGCTTCCAGCAGGAGCGTTATTAGTCCCTGGGCACTGACCGCCCTGGGCACTGACCGCCCTGGACACTGACTGACAGCCCTGGGCACTGACAGCCCTGGGCACTGACAGCCCTGGGCACTGACGGGCCCTGAGCACTGACGGGCCCTGAGCACTGCCTGACAGCCCTGGGCACTGACAGCTCTGGGCACTGACGGGCCCTGGGCACTGACTGACGGGCCTGGGCACTGACCGCCCTGGGCACTGACGGCTCTGGGCACTGATGGGGTCTGGGCACTGCTGGCTCGGGGCCGGAGAATGCGGTGGCGTTTCTTCACGAAGTCCCAGGGCAGACCCTCTGGGGACTGAGAGACAGCATTCCTGTCATCGCTGAGGTCTTGGCACCTGGGGTTACACCCTGCACAACCAGTGTAAAGCTACCCCCTCCGGACGGTGACCGGGCATGGGGTCCCTGTGGCGTTTCCCAGTGTCTGGCAGATCGTGGGAACTGTCCGGTGCTCCTGTCTGTCCATCTGCTTTGCTGGCCTGACCTCCATGCAGACACCAGCGCGTCTTAGAAGATTCCAGAGAAGGGAGGTACGCTCGGGGTTCAAGGCAGACGAGAGGAGGACCTCCTTACAACCACGCTGGCAGCCACCGCCAAGGGATGAGTCAGATTCAAGAGCTTTCAAGGCACCTTTCCCGAGAGTCCCACTTTTAAAAAAGTATGTTTTCATGGATTTTTTTTGAGAGGAAGGGAGAGGGATAGAGAGAAACCTCAGTGCTGAGAGAGAATCACAGATCGGCTGCCTCCTGCATGACCCCACTGGGATCGAGCCTGCAACCTGGGCATGTGCCCTGACGGGGAATCAAACCCGGGACCATTCTGTCCTCAGGCCGACGGGCTACCCACTGGGCTAAACCAGCTAGGGCCTTGAGTTTCCTCTTGTTCCTGAAAGTTGTGGTCACTAACAGTGGGTGAAGCACATATAGGAAGCCCTCAGAGGGGTGCGCAGGGCAGGGGGTTAGGGGGGCGATGCAGGTGGACCCTCAGTCAGCACACACACGGGCCATAGGAAGACAGCCACACGGAGGGGACTTGGGGAGGGGAGAGGCCTGTGGGTGTCAGGCTGTCAGGGGCTGATTTCCCAGATGAAGCCGAAATAAAAGGAAGTATGGAGCTGGTGAAGGAGAAAAGCTCTTCCTTCTCCTTTATTTTATGGAATTTTTTTTTTTTACATGAAAGTTCTTTTAAAAAAAAAAATTTGACTGATTTTTTACAGAGAGGAAGGGAGAGGGATAGAGAATTAGATACATCGATCAGCTGCCTCCTGCATGCCCCCTACTGGGGATGTGCCCTTGCCCGGAATCGAACCTGGGACCCCTCAGTCTGAAGGCCGATGCTCTATTCACTGAACCAAACCAGTTAGGGCTATTTTGTGGATGTTTTAATTCTCTCCAAGGTCAATGTCAGTGCCTCTGCCCACTGTTCCTTGGAAGCCCTTCGTCAGGGGTTCTAATGTCCATGTTGATGTCAGAAACAGACAGGTCAGTGCCGATTACCTCCGGGCACACGGCTCCGGGTGCGGCCCTGCACTGGGAGAGAAATAACCTGCAACAGGCCAGGGCGAGAAGGCGGGCAGAGCAATTTAGAAATTGTCTCCTGGCCTCGGCCTCGTTTGGAGGCAAACAGCTCAGAGGATTGCGGCCGAGTGTGGGCGTCTCCGTGGTGCCCGTCGGTGGAGGGGGCAGGAGGTGAGCAAGCGATGGCGTCGGCCAGCCGCTGTGGTGAGGGGGTCAGGAGCCGGTGCCTGTGGCTGGACGGGTACCTCCCCTCTGGGACCTCAAGGTTTTCATTCCTGCAATGGGCACAGCGGCGAGACTCGCAGAGGCTGTTAGGGTGAAACGCCTGCTCACCCGCGGGCTTAAGCTGAGCCTTGCATTCGAGTAGATGCCACTCAGTGCCATTTCTTCTTCTTCTTGGCACTTGTGTTCTCTTCCCTGAATACTAATGCACATTATCATTATTTTTTTAATACATTTTTATTGATGTCAGAGAGGAAGGGAGAGTGGGAGAGTGTCGCATGTGAATCCGGGCAGAGGACACTCTGCTGGCGACCATTTGAACCCGTTCGGCGGCTCAGCGGCCGCACTGTGCTCAGTGGTGTCCCCGCCGGTCTGAGCGGCGGCAGGAGCCGTCTTCCCGAGGAAGAGCACGCTGTTGGCGTCCGGAGGGTGGCAGGTGCCACTTACGGCCTCAGGAAGCAATTACCGTCCGTCACCGCCGTCCCCGGGGAGAGGCGGGCGGCTGGGGCAGGGGAGGCGTGCTGGCTGTTTGGGGCCCCGTCTCCGTGCCTGTCACCACGGCGATCACAGCGCACCGTGCATGAGCGGTGGCTGCGAGCCCAGCACCGAGCGGAGTGTACACGCGTGGGTCCCTGTCATCGCGGGAGAGGCCCCGGGGCAGGGCCAGAGCCCCACGGGGTGGAGGAGCTTCGGGCCTGCGAGGAAGGGCTCCCGGCCTCCTCCGCTGAGGGACTGTGTACCGGTCTTTCCCTCGCGGCCCCTGTGCCTTCCTGCCCCAGCGGTGGGGCCGCGGCCTCCCTGGTGCCGTGTCTGCCCCGGCCGTGGGGCTGGGGCGTCCCCGGTGCCGTGTCTGCCCCGGCCGTGGGGCTGGGGCCTCCCCGGTGCCGTGTCTGCCCCGGCCGTGGGGCTGGGGCCTCCCCGGTGCCGTGTCTGCCCCGGCGGTGGGGCTGGGGCCTCCCCGGTGCTGTGTCTGCCCCGGCGGTGGGGCCGCGGCCCCGTTACTGTGTGGCGGAATGAGTGTCCCCGTGGAATCGCCCACGGAGCAGGCGGAGTGCTTGGGGACTCGGGGCGAGGGGACCCCTGGAGGAGGGAGAGCCGCAGACTCTCGCATCCAGTCCAGCTCCACTCTTACAGCCGTTTCCCCACGAATTTCCCTTTGAAGAATGGATTTGGTCTAAAAGCAGAGAAAGAGCCGAAACCGGTTTGGCTCAGTGGGTAGAGCTTCGGCCTGTGGACTGAGAGGTCCCAGGTTCGATTCCGGTCAAGGGCATGTACCTTGGTTGCCGGCACATCCCCCGGTAGGGGGTGTGCAGGAGGCAGCTGGTGGATGTTTCTCTCTCATTGACGTTGCTAGCTCTCTACCTCACTCCCTTCCTCTCTGTAAAAAATCAATAAAAAATAAAATAAAATAAATAAAATAAAAGCAGAGAAAGAAAACTTTGCAAAGCATTGGCATTGTTTGTGAGAAGCGAGGCTAAGGAAAGAAAACAGTGTTCTGTATTCCTTATTGTTATTGTGGTAAAGCACACACAGCGAACAGCTACCATTTCACCGCGTCTGAGCCTCAGCGGAGCGGCGGCACCCGAGTGGGCGTCGCTGCGCAACAGACACGTCGCTGCCACGTCCCCATGTTGCAGAACCATCCTTTCCCAGACGGCAGTGTTTGCACAGCTCGGCGTCCTGCTCTTCGCTGCTCACTTCAGCCCGTTTCTCAGTCTGCCTCCCTCCCTCCTGGCCGGGTTTCCACGCCTGCAGGCGGGAAGAGACGCCCTCCCTCTCCCGTCTCTGCGCGCAGAGGCGCCGTGGCTAATCTTTCCAAAAACCTGGACCTTTTTAAAACGCCGCGGGACGTGGGACGAATTGTTAAAAACCGGGGCTGTCCCGCCAAAAGCGGGACGCCTGGTCACCTGCCCCTTTGTCCTTCAGCACCGCGTCCCGCTCTGTCCTCACCGCGGAGGCCGGGGCTGGTTTGGGACCGTTTCCTTCAACCCCTTCGGTGGCGGATGAGGACGTAGGTCCCAGGACGGCTGGGACTCACAGACGAGGGAACAGCCGCAGGTGGACCTGCCTCTTTACCGCCTGAGGCAGCCTCCTTCCGCTGCTCAGTGAGCGCCCCTCCGCCTCAGCGGCCAGCG